GGTGACAAAATATTTCCACCATCAGAGACCGCCATCAACGAAACAGGTTTATCGTAGCAGCCACTGTCGCCACAAGAATCGCCGTTGCTAAACAATACGCGATCGTCAAAAATCCGGCTTGGCGACGCCGAAGAAAAAGTAATAGACCTGTCGTTGTTATATATAACAAAAATGTTCTCGGTATCATAATAAGTGTACAACATGGCTTTATTGGTTATGTGAGTTCGATATAACCTTATTAGGTAATACAATGATTCTGTGTATTGTATGGGGAATGCAGTATTTTAATAATTGGTAAATTTACCAAAATGCATTTTCTCTCATGCCGATATGTTTAACATCTCATACCAGTGGTAGACAGCATCGATATATTTCTCTACACATACTAATGGTAGTACTTGATGTGTAAATTAGCCATACCTGTACACATGTAGTAGTTCACCGACTCACTGTTACATGAGTGAAATATTGATTGCACAAGTAAACTGTTATCACCATACAAATTCACACAGTTACATTAATAATTTGTCAACAACTTCTTGTAATTGTCAAACATCATTCAAAGGTTAATAAAAAATAAAATATGTTTAGGATAAAATTAAAAGACAATCTTTCGGCTTGCAAGTAAATACAGCCATATAAATTTACCCTTGGGTTAATTATACCAAGTTTCCTAAAAGAAAGTGGCCGAGAAATGAGGGTAAAATTCAGGACAAAATATAAATTATATCACGATAGAGATAAACTTTAATAATTTCAGACAGAAACTTAACTGAAATTCCCAAAAATGGACAGAAATGTTGGAGTTCAGGCAAGATTCAATACAGATATGGAAGAAGGGGCATAACTGCCAAAAAAAAAGGCAGAACAAGAGAAAAAGTCCTTGTGAACACTTAATGTGTGCTGGATACATGTATTTTCAAAATATAAAATGAGAACTGTGGGATGAGTTGTATTGTAACTAATGACTTGACGATATTAAATGATTTAATTTTTGGCTTATAATTCCAGGAGGTTGTTCCATTTTTTCCATTCTCTTTCCAGTTTTCTTACATAATTTTCCCCCATGCAACATGCTATATATTTTTGTACAGAATGATGGTCTTTTATGCTGTTAATTAAAGCATTTACTGACAAATTGTTTTGAAGGCATCTTGTTTTATAAATATAGTGTTTGATCATAATTAAAATTTCATTATCTAGTCTGTTGCCTATTCCTGACTGTGACACTATTCCGAAAAGGAAGGATTCCTTATTAAAAGAAAATGGGATAAATAAATCTTCTAGTAGTGTTTCAAAACTGTGTAGGAAATCTTGTACAATGGCACACTCCCATAATGTATGAATTATTGTTTCCCTATCTAGATTGCAAAAAACACATAAAGGATTATTGGAGAGGCCGGCTTTGCATAGATATATATTTGTTGTCAGAATTTGATGGAGAATTCTTACTTGGAGCCATTGGAGTTTTGTTTTCGTAGTTGTGCGAAATGGTATTTGATATATTTTTTCCCATTTGTTGTCCCTAATGTCAAATATTTCCCCCCATTTCTTCCTACCAGTTGGAATAACCCTATATTCAGAAAGTATTACATAAAAGTCCTTAGCTCCTTCAGTGTTTTGTAAAAACTTTCCAAACAAAGGGGAATCATTGGGTACACTAAGCCTACAGTGGTATTATGCCCAATATTGTTTTGATTAATATATCTTCTAAGAGCTGACAGGATATCATAATACTGCAGAAGGTTTGTGTTTATATTGTATTTGATATCAAACTCATCATGTGTATAAAATGTATGTGTGGGGAAATCTTTTATCAAATCATTAAAAATAGTAATTCCACATCTATACCATTCAGGATAAAATACACACTTCTGATTTATAGTTAAACTTTTATGATACCATAAAGGCAATTTTAAAAACGATTGTCCCTTTTCCCTTACAAGATCTTCTTTATAAGAAAGTCTACTCCATGCTTTAAATACATCTTTCGAGAACAAATTTGTACTTGTATTTTGGCATATAGATATATATTTATTACACAGTTAAAGAGAAGATCAATATTGATATGTGTTTTTAATAACTGCTGCCATTTGCCTTGTTTTTGTAGAAGCCTCCTTATCCAACTTAATTTTAAAGATTCTATAAATGACAATAAATGTACCATCTTAAGACCTCCATCTCTATAATGTTTAACAACAACATCTCTCTTTATTTTATCAACCTTTCCATTCCAAAGAAAGTTCTGTTTATTCTTGAGCTGCAGTGAAACTCTCTCTCTCTCTCTCTCTCTCTCTCTCTCTCTCTCTCTCTCTC